CCTCTCTCTCTCTCTCTCTCTCTCTCTCTCTCTCTCTCTGTGTGTGTGTGTGTGTGTGTGTGTGTGATTGTTTCTGTACCTCTGTTTTTATGTGTTGGTTTGTGAGTTGTTTGTCCACAGGATCCTAAAGAGAGGGAGTCCGAGTAAGCGAGCGAGCGATAGAGAGATGAGAGAGAGGCAGAGAGAGAGAGAAAGAGAGAAAGAGAGCAGGAGAATGGGACACAGAGGGAAAAGAATTAGATTCAAACCAGAGAGAATCTAATCCGAGGATAATCTTGGAAATGAAGAATCAAGGTCAAGAAGCAAACCCAAATGAAAGTTCATGGCCCCGCAGGCTATTTGCATATGCGTCTGTGTGAGGGAACCCCTGGGTACTACTGGCTTGTATAAAGAGAAGGGAGGAGCTGCCTACCAGCTGATGGAGCAGGGATGCTCTGAGCTGCAAGCCCACCAAGGTGAAGCTCTTGACTTAAGGAAGCTCATTTAAGAAGCCTTGTGGTCCTGTATTAGGTGCACAAAAAGTGGAAGCAACAGGGATTTCAGCTCTTTCTTCTTCATGCATGGTGAGCAGGTAAACTACATGGTATGTACTTCTAGGCTGGACTTGCCCTCTGGTGAGCTCGCCAACGCGAGACTGGACAGAGGAACACTGGCGGCCTCCCAGGTCGCAAAGGGTCACCTGTGAGGAAGTCTGGCAACCATGGGGGTCTTTTCCAGTGCCAGAAGGGCGTGAGAACTGGCGGTGCGGTGCGTTTGGAAGGGGGGGGGTGGAGGGTTGGTGGTGGAATGGGCGTGGCTGACAGACCCCGGAGTTGGAGATGGCCCGCCCAGGTGAAGCAGCCTGGGAGGTTGATTGGGCTGTGGTGAGGGGGCGTGGCAGGGCCACCAGCTTAAAGCAAAGGTGAGCAGAACAGAGGCCAGGCAAGCAGACAGAGCCTCCTGAAGCGCACCCCAGCGCAGAAGCTCTGCCCTCTGCCCTTTCCTTCCTCACACCGCCACCAGCCGCCACCCTTCGCCCCTGCCCCTGCCCCTGCCCCTGCCCGCTGCCCCTGCCTCCGCCGCCAGCCAGACGGTGGTCTAGCCCAGTCAAGCCTGCTGTTCTTTGGATGCCCGGTTGGATCCTTGGGTCGTAGCCAGTGCAGATGGAGGAGGCCCCCAGCCGCCTAGAAGCCCTGCAGAAGCTGCGGGAGCGCCTGTGCACCGAGACAGAGCCCAGCAAGCTCTACAGCACCCTGAAGAAACTCTCTCGCCTGCCCGTGCTGGGCGACACCCTGGAGGAGATTGGCTTCAGGAAGACCATCAAAGTGTTGAAGAAACAGCAGCTCCTGCTACCCTTTGCCAAGGACTTAGCGGCCCAGTGGTCAGAGGGGTCCCACTTTGGGCCCCGGCCTGAACCCAGACCCCAGGACTTTGCCTCCCAGAGCAGCGCGACGACAGAGCCTCGCAGAGACTCCCCAGAGGCGCTTGAGCCTGCTTCCCGGCCACAGGGAGGAGGTGGCAGAGAGGTCTTGGAGGTCAGCGGTAGCAGCCCGCAGCGAAGCGCACCTCGCAGCCCAAGCTCCGAGCCAGCGGGAAGAAAGAGGCCCAGAGGGTCCTTCGGGGGCAGGCAGCTAGCCGCGGAGAGCCAGGTACAGGTACGCGGAGGCAAGCCCCCACAGGGAGGTGTTGGGGCGCCCTGGCGGCTGCAAGGGGTGAAGGCCCTCTGCGGCAAGCCAGCGGCTGGGCCAGCGAAGCGGCGTCCGTCTCCCCCGAGGGAAAAGACCCCTGGCCCCTGGATCCGGGAAGACCAGCAGGCCGCTTCTTTGCAGGCTCGCCTCGACTACCACAGCTCTGACAGCTCTCCGTCTTCCTCCGCGCCCGCGCCGCCGCCTCCGGGCAAGAGGAAGAGGAAAAGCAACTGGAAAGCTGAGGCGCAGAGCCCCGGAGCAGAGGTGCCTCGGGGCGAGTCTCACAGCTGCAGCGATCTGAATCTCCTCCTGGATGACGATCCCTTCCCAGAGCTCACCTCCGGTCTCCAAGCCTGCTTCTCCGGAGGAGAAGGACCTGAGGACTCTTCCTTGCACACTGACCGAGAAGCAGCACCTTGGGCGCGCAGGGCGACCTGGAAAACGCCTGTGTATTCGGGTCGCACACCAGCCAGAGCTCTCCCAAGGAAATCGCACCAAGGACGCTTTGCGAACCCCGACCGCACGTGGGAAACTCACAGCCAACCGGCCCCGCAGGAATGCGGGCTCTGGAGACAGCAAGAGGACCAGTCCCGCACCTGCAAGCCAACTAACCCCCAGACTGAGACCCAGACACACCTCAGGCTGCAGCAGTCCAGCGAGCTGAGGCTGAAAGCCCTGACAGCCCGCATCCAAAGCTCACAAGCCAAGAAGCATCAAGACCGCCAAACCAAGCTGATCTCCTTCCACGCCCTGACCGCAGACCCAGGCCAGCATGCAGACTCCGCACCCAGACGGGAAGACTCCCCCGAAAACCTGAACTGCCTCAGCCAAGGCCCTGGCACTGACCTTGTGAAGAGGGCTCCGCGCCCCGCCCTGGGCGGCAGGGACCAGACCCGTGCTAAGAAAGCCGCCCCGCTCATGGCCAAGGCCCTCAAGGATTACAAGAATAGGTGGTCTCGGAAGTGATGCGACCTTCCTCTCTCTCCCTCAGCCCTGGCATCGCGGACTCCTTTGGGATTTGCCCCGTGAATGCGGCCAAACGACAACCGAGGGGTTTATGTAGTTTTTTTTTTTTTTTTTTTAATGTACTTATTTTGTTTGTTTGAACACCGATTTAGAAGAAGCGCGGGGTTTGGGGAAATCCTCCTGTTCAGATACGGGCATCTTCATCCTACTCATGTCTGCGTAGATATTTAGAAAGAGAGTTGAAGGGATACACAGATGCACTGGTGTACGTCGACGGGATAGAGAACGTTACAAAGAGACTGTAGACAGGTGATTGTACATACATAAAGGTAGTGTCGGACATAGACCGATAGTTACATAGATTTTTAAACACATTGCTGCATAAACAGTGGGAACAAAACTATTTGAACTTCAAAGGTATTAAATATAAAATATGTGCTCGTACATGTTCGTTTGCATGGGTGTATTTGTGTTTAATAAAGTTGAAAACTACTGGAGGAGTGTAAAAAAAGATTCAAACAACTCAGATATTTCACTTCATAACACAAACGTGGAATTGTGAAAACCACACCTGGATCCCACTTCTGGAGAGGTACAGGATTCAAAGACACAGAGTGGAAGCAAGCAAAACGTGGAAACGAAAGCAGAGGTGTGGGTAATACTGGGGGAAAATTCTTTTGAGACTTACACGAAGTAAGGGAAAGGGAGTAAGATGTACTGGATCAGGAAAGAAAAAGGGTGTGCGTGTGGGTGTGTGTGTGTGTGTGTGTGTGTGTGTGTGTGTGTGTGTGTGATGAAGTATAAGGAAAGAATCCTAATCAGGGTGGCATTGGCAAACACCTGTCATTTAGCACTAGGGAGAAGGAGGCTGGATGATCATTGTGAGTTCCAGGGCACCTGATGAACAGAGCAAGCTCCAGGTCAGGCTCCCAGGCTACAAAGAGAACCCCTGTCTCAAAAAACCTAATAAAGAAACACCAAAATTAATCAATAACTTAATGGATGTTAGAAAAATGTTTCAAGACACCCCGGGCAATCCAGCTCATTAGGGAAAGATGACAGGCATAGTGAGAACCACCCTTTGATCCAAAATCTTGAGAGGCCCCCGGATTCAAGGATGTGGTGTTCCTGACTGGAAAATCGGAGTGAAAAACAACTGGGGAAGGAATGGACGCTTCAATTCCCTCCTCTCTCTCTCTCTCTCTCTCTCTCTCACACACACACACTGTTTCTCTCTCTCTCTCTCTCTCTCTCTCTCTCTCTCTGTGTGTGTGTGTGTGTGTGTGTGTGTGATTGTTTCTGTACCTCTGTTTTTATGTGTTGGTTTGTGAGTTGTTTGTCCACAGGATCCTAAAGAGAGGGAGTCCGAGTAAGCGAGCGAGCGATAGAGAGATGAGAGAGAGGCAGAGAGAGAGAGAAAGAGAGAAAGAGAGCAGGAGAATGGGACACAGAGGGAAAAGAATTAGATTCAAACCAGAGAGAATCTAATCCGAGGATAATCTTGGAAATGAAGAATCAAGGTCAAGAAGCAAACCCAAATGAAAGTTCATGGCCCCGCAGGCTATTTGCATATGCGTCTGTGTGAGGGAACCCCTGGGTACTACTGGCTTGTATAAAGAGAAGGGAGGAGCTGCCTACCAGCTGATGGAGCAGGGATGCTCTGAGCTGCAAGCCCACCAAGGTGAAGCTCTTGACTTAAGGAAGCTCATTTAAGAAGCCTTGTGGTCCTGTATTAGGTGCACAAAAAGTGGAAGCAACAGGGATTTCAGCTCTTTCTTCTTCATGCATGGTGAGCAGGTAAACTACATGGTATGTACTTCTAGGCTGGACTTGCCCTCTGGTGAGCTCGCCAACGCGAGACTGGACAGAGGAACACTGGCGGCCTCCCAGGTCGCAAAGGGTCACCTGTGAGGAAGTCTGGCAACCATGGGGGTCTTTTCCAGTGCCAGAAGGGCGTGAGAACTGGCGGTGCGGTGCGTTTGGAAGGGGGGGGGTGGAGGGTTGGTGGTGGAATGGGCGTGGCTGACAGACCCCGGAGTTGGAGATGGCCCGCCCAGGTGAAGCAGCCTGGGAGGTTGATTGGGCTGTGGTGAGGGGGCGTGGCAGGGCCACCAGCTTAAAGCAAAGGTGAGCAGAACAGAGGCCAGGCAAGCAGACAGAGCCTCCTGAAGCGCACCCCAGCGCAGAAGCTCTGCCCTCTGCCCTTTCCTTCCTCACACCGCCACCAGCCGCCACCCTTCGCCCCTGCCCCTGCCCCTGCCCCTGCCCCTGCCCCTGCCTCCGCCGCCAGCCAGACGGTGGTCTAGCCCAGTCAAGCCTGCTGTTCTTTGGATGCCCGGTTGGATCCTTGGGTCGTAGCCAGTGCAGATGGAGGAGGCCCCCAGCCGCCTAGAAGCCCTGCAGAAGCTGCGGGAGCGCCTGTGCACCGAGACAGAGCCCAGCAAGCTCTACAGCACCCTGAAGAAACTCTCTCGCCTGCCCGTGCTGGGCGACACCCTGGAGGAGATTGGCTTCAGGAAGACCATCAAAGTGTTGAAGAAACAGCAGCTCCTGCTACCCTTTGCCAAGGACTTAGCGGCCCAGTGGTCAGAGGGGTCCCACTTTGGGCCCCGGCCTGAACCCAGACCCCAGGACTTTGCCTCCCAGAGCAGCGCGACGACAGAGCCTCGCAGAGACTCCCCAGAGGCGCTTGAGCCTGCTTCCCGGCCACAGGGAGGAGGTGGCAGAGAGGTCTTGGAGGTCAGCGGTAGCAGCCCGCAGCGAAGCGCACCTCGCAGCCCAAGCTCCGAGCCAGCGGGAAGAAAGAGGCCCAGAGGGTCCTTCGGGGGGCAGGCAGCTAGCCGCGGAGAGCCAGGTACAGGTACGCGGAGGCAAGCCCCCACAGGGAGGTGTTGGGGCGCCCTGGCGGCTGCAAGGGGTGAAGGCCCTCTGCGGCAAGCCAGCGGCTGGGCCAGCGAAGCGGCGTCCGTCTCCCCCGAGGGAAAAGACCCCTGGCCCCTGGATCCGGGAAGACCAGCAGGCCGCTTCTTTGCAGGCTCGCCTCGACTACCACAGCTCTGACAGCTCTCCGTCTTCCTCCGCGCCCGCGCCGCCGCCTCCGGGCAAGAGGAAGAGGAAAAGCAACTGGAAAGCTGAGGCGCAGAGCCCCGGAGCAGAGGTGCCTCGGGGCGAGTCTCACAGCTGCAGCGATCTGAATCTCCTCCTGGATGACGATCCCTTCCCAGAGCTCACCTCCGGTCTCCAAGCCTGCTTCTCCGGAGGAGAAGGACCTGAGGACTCTTCCTTGCACACTGACCGAGAAGCAGCACCTTGGGCGCGCAGGGCGACCTGGAAAACGCCTGTGTATTCGGGTCGCACACCAGCCAGAGCTCTCCCAAGGAAATCGCACCAAGGACGCTTTGCGAACCCCGACCGCACGTGGGAAACTCACAGCCAACCGGCCCCGCAGGAATGCGGGCTCTGGAGACAGCAAGAGGACCAGTCCCGCACCTGCAAGCCAACTAACCCCCAGACTGAGACCCAGACACACCTCAGGCTGCAGCAGTCCAGCGAGCTGAGGCTGAAAGCCCTGACAGCCCGCATCCAAAGCTCACAAGCCAAGAAGCATCAAGACCGCCAAACCAAGCTGATCTCCTTCCACGCCCTGACCGCAGACCCAGGCCAGCATGCAGACTCCGCACCCAGACGGGAAGACTCCCCCGAAAACCTGAACTGCCTCAGCCAAGGCCCTGGCACTGACCTTGTGAAGAGGGCTCCGCGCCCCGCCCTGGGCGGCAGGGACCAGACCCGTGCTAAGAAAGCCGCCCCGCTCATGGCCAAGGCCCTCAAGGATTACAAGAATAGGTGGTCTCGGAAGTGATGCGACCTTCCTCTCTCTCCCTCAGCCCTGGCATCGCGGACTCCTTTGGGATTTGCCCCGTGAATGCGGCCAAACGACAACCGAGGGGTTTATGTAGGTTTTTTTTTTTTTTTTTTTTTTTAATGTACTTATTTTGTTTGTTTGAACACCGATTTAGAAGAAGCGCGGGGTTTGGGGAAATCCTCCTGTTCAGATACGGGCATCTTCATCCTACTCATGTCTGCGTAGATATTTAGAAAGAGAGTTGAAGGGATACACAGATGCACTGGTGTACGTCGACGGGATAGAGAACGTTACAAAGAGACTGTAGACAGGTGATTGTACATACATAAAGGTAGTGTCGGACATAGACCGATAGTTACATAGATTTTTAAACACATTGCTGCATAAACAGTGGGAACAAAACTATTTGAACTTCAAAGGTATTAAATATAAAATATGTGCTCGTACATGTTCGTTTGCATGGGTGTATTTGTGTTTAATAAAGTTGAAAACTACTGGAGGAGTGTAAAAAAAGATTCAAACAACTCAGATATTTCACTTCATAACACAAACGTGGAATTGTGAAAACCACACCTGGATCCCACTTCTGGAGAGGTACAGGATTCAAAGACACAGAGTGGAAGCAAGCAAAACGTGGAAACGAAAGCAGAGGTGTGGGTAATACTGGGGGAAAATTCTTTTGAGACTTACACGAAGTAAGGGAAAGGGAGTAAGATGTACTGGATCAGGAAAGAAAAAGGGTGTGCGTGTGGTGTGTGCGTGTGTGTGTGTGTGTGTGTGTGTGTGTGTGTGTGTGTGATGAAGTATAAGGAAAGAATCCTAATCAGGGTGGCATTGGCAAACACCTGTCATTTAGCACTAGGGAGAAGGAGGCTGGATGATCATTGTGAGTTCCAGGGCACCTGATGAACAGAGCAAGCTCCAGGTCAGGCTCCCAGGCTACAAAGAGAACCCCTGTCTCAAAAAACCTAATAAAGAAACACCAAAATTAATCAATAACTTAATGGATGTTAGAAAAATGTTTCAAGACACCCCGGGCAATCCAGCTCATTAGGGAAAGATGACAGGCATAGTGAGAACCACCCTTTGATCCAAAATCTTGAGAGGCCCCCGGATTCAAGGATGTGGTGTTCCTGACTGGAAAATCGGAGTGAAAAACAACTGGGGAAGGAATGGACGCTTCAATTCCCTCCTCTCTCTCTTTCTCTCTCTCTCTCTCACACACACACACACTGTTTCTCTCTCTCTCTCTCTCTCTCTCTCTCTCTCTCTCTGTGTGTGTGTGTGTGTGTGTGTGTGATTGTTTCTGTACCTCTGTTTTTATGTGTTGGTTTGTGAGTTGTTTGTCCACAGGATCCTAAAGAGAGGGAGTCCGAGTAAGCGAGCGAGCGATAGAGAGATGAGAGAGAGGCAGAGAGAGAGAGAAAGAGAGAAAGAGAGCAGGAGAATGGGACACAGAGGGAAAAGAATTAGATTCAAACCAGAGAGAATCTAATCCGAGGATAATCTTGGAAATGAAGAATCAAGGTCAAGAAGCAAACCCAAATGAAAGTTCATGGCCCCGCAGGCTATTTGCATATGCGTCTGTGTGAGGGAACCCCTGGGTACTACTGGCTTGTATAAAGAGAAGGGAGGAGCTGCCTACCAGCTGATGGAGCAGGGATGCTCTGAGCTGCAAGCCCACCAAGGTGAAGCTCTTGACTTAAGGAAGCTCATTTAAGAAGCCTTGTGGTCCTGTATTAGGTGCACAAAAAGTGGAAGCAACAGGGATTTCAGCTCTTTCTTCTTCATGCATGGTGAGCAGGTAAACTACATGGTATGTACTTCTAGGCTGGACTTGCCCTCTGGTGAGCTCGCCAACGCGAGACTGGACAGAGGAACACTGGCGGCCTCCCAGGTCGCAAAGGGTCACCTGTGAGGAAGTCTGGCAACCATGGGGGTCTTTTCCAGTGCCAGAAGGGCGTGAGAACTGGCGGTGCGGTGCGTTTGGAAGGGGGGGGGTGGAGGGTTGGTGGTGGAATGGGCGTGGCTGACAGACCCCGGAGTTGGAGATGGCCCGCCCAGGTGAAGCAGCCTGGGAGGTTGATTGGGCTGTGGTGAGGGGGCGTGGCAGGGCCACCAGCTTAAAGCAAAGGTGAGCAGAACAGAGGCCAGGCAAGCAGACAGAGCCTCCTGAAGCGCACCCCAGCGCAGAAGCTCTGCCCTCTGCCCTTTCCTTCCTCACACCGCCACCAGCCGCCACCCTTCGCCCCTGCCCCTGCCCCTGCCCCTGCCCCTGCCCCTGCCTCCGCCGCCAGCCAGACGGTGGTCTAGCCCAGTCAAGCCTGCTGTTCTTTGGATGCCCGGTTGGATCCTTGGGTCGTAGCCAGTGCAGATGGAGGAGGCCCCCAGCCGCCTAGAAGCCCTGCAGAAGCTGCGGGAGCGCCTGTGCACCGAGACAGAGCCCAGCAAGCTCTACAGCACCCTGAAGAAACTCTCTCGCCTGCCCGTGCTGGGCGACACCCTGGAGGAGATTGGCTTCAGGAAGACCATCAAAGTGTTGAAGAAACAGCAGCTCCTGCTACCCTTTGCCAAGGACTTAGCGGCCCAGTGGTCAGAGGGGTCCCACTTTGGGCCCCGGCCTGAACCCAGACCCCAGGACTTTGCCTCCCAGAGCAGCGCGACGACAGAGCCTCGCAGAGACTCCCCAGAGGCGCTTGAGCCTGCTTCCCGGCCACAGGGAGGAGGTGGCAGAGAGGTCTTGGAGGTCAGCGGTAGCAGCCCGCAGCGAAGCGCACCTCGCAGCCCAAGCTCCGAGCCAGCGGGAAGAAAGAGGCCCAGAGGGTCCTTCGGGGGCAGGCAGCTAGCCGCGGAGAGCCAGGTACAGGTACGCGGAGGCAAGCCCCCACAGGGAGGTGTTGGGGCGCCCTGGCGGCTGCAAGGGGTGAAGGCCCTCTGCGGCAAGCCAGCGGCTGGGCCAGCGAAGCGGCGTCCGTCTCCCCCGAGGGAAAAGACCCCTGGCCCCTGGATCCGGGAAGACCAGCAGGCCGCTTCTTTGCAGGCTCGCCTCGACTACCACAGCTCTGACAGCTCTCCGTCTTCCTCCGCGCCCGCGCCGCCGCCTCCGGGCAAGAGGAAGAGGAAAAGCAACTGGAAAGCTGAGGCGCAGAGCCCCGGAGCAGAGGTGCCTCGGGGCGAGTCTCACAGCTGCAGCGATCTGAATCTCCTCCTGGATGACGATCCCTTCCCAGAGCTCACCTCCGGTCTCCAAGCCTGCTTCTCCGGAGGAGAAGGACCTGAGGACTCTTCCTTGCACACTGACCGAGAAGCAGCACCTTGGGCGCGCAGGGCGACCTGGAAAACGCCTGTGTATTCGGGTCGCACACCAGCCAGAGCTCTCCCAAGGAAATCGCACCAAGGACGCTTTGCGAACCCCGACCGCACGTGGGAAACTCACAGCCAACCGGCCCCGCAGGAATGCGGGCTCTGGAGACAGCAAGAGGACCAGTCCCGCACCTGCAAGCCAACTAACCCCCAGACTGAGACCCAGACACACCTCAGGCTGCAGCAGTCCAGCGAGCTGAGGCTGAAAGCCCTGACAGCCCGCATCCAAAGCTCACAAGCCAAGAAGCATCAAGACCGCCAAACCAAGCTGATCTCCTTCCACGCCCTGACCGCAGACCCAGGCCAGCATGCAGACTCCGCACCCAGACGGGAAGACTCCCCCGAAAACCTGAACTGCCTCAGCCAAGGCCCTGGCACTGACCTTGTGAAGAGGGCTCCGCGCCCCGCCCTGGGCGGCAGGGACCAGACCCGTGCTAAGAAAGCCGCCCCGCTCATGGCCAAGGCCCTCAAGGATTACAAGAATAGGTGGTCTCGGAAGTGATGCGACCTTCCTCTCTCTCCCTCAGCCCTGGCATCGCGGACTCCTTTGGGATTTGCCCCGTGAATGCGGCCAAACGACAACCGAGGGGTTTATGTAGGTTTTTTTTTTTTTTTTTTAATGTACTTATTTTGTTTGTTTGAACACCGATTTAGAAGAAGCGCGGGGTTTGGGGAAATCCTCCTGTTCAGATACGGGCATCTTCATCCTACTCATGTCTGCGTAGATATTTAGAAAGAGAGTTGAAGGGATACACAGATGCACTGGTGTACGTCGACGGGATAGAGAACGTTACAAAGAGACTGTAGACAGGTGATTGTACATACATAAAGGTAGTGTCGGACATAGACCGATAGTTACATAGATTTTTAAACACATTGCTGCATAAACAGTGGGAACAAAACTATTTGAACTTCAAAGGTATTAAATATAAAATATGTGCTCGTACATGTTCGTTTGCATGGGTGTATTTGTGTTTAATAAAGTTGAAAACTACTGGAGGAGTGTAAAAAAAGATTCAAACAACTCAGATATTTCACTTCATAACACAAACGTGGAATTGTGAAAACCACACCTGGATCCCACTTCTGGAGAGGTACAGGATTCAAAGACACAGAGTGGAAGCAAGCAAAACGTGGAAACGAAAGCAGAGGTGTGGGTAATACTGGGGGAAAATTCTTTTGAGACTTACACGAAGTAAGGGAAAGGGAGTAAGATGTACTGGATCAGGAAAGAAAAAGGGTGTGCGTGTGGTGTGTGCGTGTGTGTGTGTGTGTGTGTGTGTGTGTGTGTGTGTGATGAAGTATAAGGAAAGAATCCTAATCAGGGTGGCATTGGCAAACACCTGTCATTTAGCACTAGGGAGAAGGAGGCTGGATGATCATTGTGAGTTCCAGGGCACCTGATGAACAGAGCAAGCTCCAGGTCAGGCTCCCAGGCTACAAAGAGAACCCCTGTCTCAAAAAACCTAATAAAGAAACACCAAAATTAATCAATAACTTAATGGATGTTAGAAAAATGTTTCAAGACACCCCGGGCAATCCAGCTCATTAGGGAAAGATGACAGGCATAGTGAGAACCACCCTTTGATCCAAAATCTTGAGAGGCCCCCGGATTCAAGGATGTGGTGTTCCTG